TTCCTGGCAGTGAAGATCAGAGAATTTAGGATTATATGCATTAGGTAGGTCTGGAATACAGTAACATTTTATGAATTGAGTAATTTTGTCTAGTATATTACTAAAGAGTCTCAGATTTATGTTAACATTATGTATAGTTTATGTAGAACATGTCTGAATAGACTGACAACTGTCATCCAAATAATTTTTATTCCATGTTTGACTTGTGTAATTATAATAGTTAGCAGTAAAATGCAGTACAACTCGGTCTGTGTCTGTTGTGGGCTGCCAGAAAAATGAGAAAGGCTTTGGTCCTTGACTATACAGAGAGAAAAATGGGACAAGGCATTTTTCTGTCCTCCAAAGAACCCAGGAATGGCAAGGGATCCGATTTGAAAAGAGAATGTACAATGGGACTGGATAAAGAAATGATGATTAATGAGAAGCTTCAGATTACATGTAATCACAGAAAAATAGGTCTGTAACAGACCTTGATCAGTCACCTAGTCCATCCTCCAATTTCAATGCCAGATCAATAGTACTTACTATTTGTCCAGTACCTACTAAAAGACATCCAGTAACGGAGACGCTATTACACCCTCTGTGATATAAAGCTGTGCCTCACTAATGTTACCATCAGAAAAGCTTTTCCTCCTTGATGCAATTTAAGTCCATTACATCTTACCCTACCTACCACGAAGAGATTATGCCCCTTCTCTTTGCAATGGCCATTTAAGTATATAAAGACTCTTAGTATGTCTGCCTTCTGCCTTCTTTCCTCTAGCCTGAACAACTCCAGCTCCTTCAGTCTTCCCAGTTCTATGTTTATCCTTGTTGCCACCTGCCCTGACTCCTGATGGTTCACATTCTTCTTGAGCTATAGTGTACAAAAATAGTCATTCCACTAATGTGCTACCAGTACTGCATAGAGCTCACAGATTGCTTCCCACATGTACATCTTCCTGGAATGTTTACCATTTTTGCCATGAAAACACATTGTTGACTCATGTTCAGCTAGTGACTTGTAGTAGACTTCATATTCCTTTCTGATAGATTACTTTTTCACCAATTGTTCCTTTCCTGAATTTGTGCAATTTGTTATACCTGCCCAGGCTCAGCAGCTTGCGTTCATGCCCCCAACCTGTGCCTTATGTTTTCTAGACCAGTTTTCTAAACGGCAAGATCCTAAACCCCTCCTCCAGGATGCCTACAATTCCTCACAGAACTGAACAGAACAGGACTTAGATTCCTAGAGGATCCTAGCTGGTAAACTCATTTTGACACCAGCTGTTGATAGCTACTCGGTAGGCACAGTTATCTACCTAGTTAAGCTCCAGCTCCACACCAGCTCCACACAGACTACATTTCCCTAGCTTTTTATCAGAATACCAAGGTGCAATACAAGACAATGGAACACTACATTTCTGTATGATTCAGTTGCTGTGGTAACACAAATTAACTAGATGTACATTGTTGTAGCAGTTTTGTCATATAAGCATGTAAGCTTTTCTACACAAATAACGGCAGAAGCTGCACAAGATTCTCAGATGAAAAAGTATCCACACAAAATGTGATGGCTGAAAAGGTAAAATAATGCCAGGTGGAGGCTAAGACAAAGAGCTGACAAATCATCTAGACATATCAAGAATGTCAGTTTAGAACCAAGGACCATTACTGTAGTTAAATGGAAGAAAAGGATAAGCATCTACCTGTAAAAGATACTCAAATGACTGAAGCAGAAAGCCAGTGAGAAATAGGCTTTATGTTCAAGACCTTCAAGTAAAGCAGCAGTTATTCAAGAAGACAAAAGCAGCAGGCACTAATACTATGACATTCTGCTGAAATCTGTTATCTGCTCTGGCATATTTGATAATCTCAAGCACAAGCTGGATCAAGAGAGTTTGGGCAGGGTTTACCTAAGAAGCGGGTTGTTGTGGATAGAGGTACAAAATGCAGGTTTCCCAGACTGAGAGGGTGAGGAGTAGGTTCAGTTATAGAGGCTGAACAGCTCTCTGGACATCTGCAGGAATACAAGGTGTATTCTCTATGTCAGAAGCAGAAAATATTCAAGTCCTGAAAAACAGCTGCTGCTCATAAGGGAAGAGAGGATATGGCAGATTAAATGCACAGCATAACTGAGAAGATAAAGAAATTCTGAAAAGATGTGCATTTTTTTTATACTAAAAAAAGATAACTGATGCAAAGCTGCAAAAGAAAGTTTGAGTTGACAGAGATTCATAAAGAAGACTGAAGGGAAATCAAAGTTCATATGTATAGGACCAGTTATACAGAAAAAGTATTGTTTATATACTTTTGCTATTCTGCATTGTCATGTTGTAATTATACCAATACAGATTCTGGAAACAAAGGAGGTTCTGGTTTCCAAAGAGGGCAGCAGGTCCCATTTTTCCTTTTCTTGCTTTTAAGTACTGGTTATCCTCCAGTGTGTTCTCATTCACTAACAACAACTTTTTCTTCCATTAGATGACTAGGAAAGTGTTATGAAACTTGTGAAAGTCCCAAAGAAGCTATGGAAATTCTGAGTTTCATCAAAACCTGAAGAACAGTGATGTGGGAGTGACTGGGGACATACTATGGGGAAGGAAGAGAGAGATGTGGGAAGTTCTGGAGGAATATGAATCCCCAGCCTCTCCTGTCCTACCCTGAGAAAGTCTTTTAACACTTACAACCCCTCCTTCCAAGGTACCACTGGTGTATTTCTGTTTTGTGGTCACGGAACAGAAAAATTCTGGATTCTGACTCACAAGTGTCTACTTTAATTGCGAAGTATGTTGCTTCCTAAGGCAATGGGGAAGAAATAAGGTCTTACCAATGAGCAGTGCAAAGACAACAAGCATCTCACTTCATTTTGAGTAAACCTCACATTTGAGCAGACGTAACTCATGTTTATGGGTGGTATGTTTTAAGATACTGTAGGATTACAGAATCACAATCTTTTCAAAACAAATAAGGTCAAAAAGATGTTTTACACAAACTTATCAGGAACCATAGTATAACAAGAAAAAAGATAATGTGAAACTCTTGTGACTTTAAGCAGTTTCAAAATCAATTCCATATTATTCTGTTCTTTCTTATTCTGATAATTGAGAATAATTTTCTCCAGCACTGCAGTGCTTTTAACTGACTCATATGTTCCTCAGTCACTGACAAAGGCTTCCATAATAAGCAGCAAAGCAGCACTGCAAGTGTCAAATTCTTCAGTCTTGCTTTCACCAATTTCCTCTATTAAATTAATATTCATAATCACATTTGGACACCACTCTGGCTTGAAACAGCATCAGCATGTGGGACTGAGGGAACAAGCATTTTATTTTTTTTTTTTTGTTAAGTAGAGGCCTCAAATTCCTTCTGCACACTTACATAACTAAACAGGGGAGAGAAGTGGCCTCTTGCACTGAGAACTGAACCCTCCAAACTCATACCTAGAATGGGGATGAGATACACGGAAAAATTCAACACGCTTTGTAATGAATGAGTCAAATGAACAAAATCACACCATCACTCTACAGACTGTATCAGCTCTAAGAGGGAGGGTTTATGGAAACATATATAGGAAAGCAACGTAGCCCTGTGGCTCCACAGTATTTTGTCCAGGTAAATCTATCCCATTTTATTGGAAAAATAACCACTGCTAAGTGGCCCCTCTGTGTAGGATTTGTGTAAATGGGATGTAGAATTTTAAAAATCTAGCCCATTTTCCACTGGGTACCCGAAGAAATTTTTATAAACTCCAATAGTAGAACAGGAGTGGGTAATAGTTAAATATATATTCACATTTGTAGCCTGTGAGTAGCAATAGCTGTATGTCTTATCTTGTATAAGATACGCTCCGTCAGCTACAAGCCGTAATCACACCAGACTTTCATTCATATCTTCAGCTCCTGGCGCTAAGCCGCCTCGGCAGGAGCACAGAAGGCAGGGTGGGATGGTGAGAGGTAGATTGCTTCATCTGCATAAAAGTAACTGCGGGGTGGGAGGAAACATCTCGTAATTAGAACATGGGACGGAAATTAAGGTCTCTACCAACTCTGCCATAGACGAAGTTGAGTATCCCTGCCAAAAAGCTCTCCGACAGCCCTTTCTCCAGCTGCAAAGCCGGGGCAGTGGGGCACAGGGGTACCCGCACAGTGAGCGTCCCTGAGCACCCGGAGGTGTTCTCCGATGGCGGCAGGACCTTTGCCGGGCTGGAGGACCAGCTGCCCAGGCCACGCCGCCCCGGCCCTCCCCGCTGGCCCGAGCCGGTAACGTTGCGGTGTTCTGGGACGGGGTCACCACGGCGGCCTTCGGGAATTCCCGGAAGGAATCCACGGCGCTGCGAGGGAGCCGTGTCCCTCGGCTGCCCACCCCGGCCGCTGCGGAGGCCGGCGGGCCGGGCCGGGCAGTTCCCCAGCGGGGTTTCGCGGTGCCCCGGCAGCAGGTGCTCCCGCCGCCCCGGCTCTGCCCGGCGGGCAGCAGGGAGGGGCGGCCCGGCGGCGGCCGCGGGGCCCCGTGCAGCGCCTCCCCCGGTACGGCGGGGATGCGGGCGGCGGCGGCGGGCGAGGTGAAGGCGACCTTGCGGCCGCTCTCCCGCCGCGGTGGCGGCTGCAGGGGCGCAGGTGGGTGGCAGCCCGCGGGGGCTCGAGAGCTCGGCGGCCGCGGCGGGCCCGGCCTGGCGGCGGGGGGAGCGCCGGGCCGCGGCCGCCCCGCTCCGCGCCCCCGCCCGGCGCCGCCCACCGCTGGGGGCGGGCCGGCGCGTGTGTCCGCACGGGCCGCGGCTCCGGCCCTGCCCCCGGCGCCTCCTGAGGTCGCCCGGCGGAGGTCGCCCGGCGGCGGAGGGCGCGGCGCGGGGTGCTTCCCGGGAGGGAGGAGACAGCCCAGCCCTGTGCCCCGGGGGCCGGCGGGATCGCCCCGCGCCTCGGAGGCCCGTCCCTCCGGAAGTTCTCCGACTGGTCGTGCCGACCCGGCGGAGCCGCGGGCCCGAGCCGGCAGGGCGGCCGTGCCCCTTCCCCAGCGCCGGCGGCCCGGCCCGCCCGCCGGGCTGCGCCGTCCCGGGGACCCGCGGGCACCGGGAGCCTGAGAAGAAATTAAAAGTTATTTCAGGTACTCTTACCTTCCCTGCCGTCCCCCTGCTTCTAACTTTTGGCGTTGGTTTTCTGGGTTTTCTTTTAATAACTCTGTGAGAAAGTGTAGGTTTATTCCCTGCGCTTTGAGTGAGAGAACCGGCTGCATAAGTTGGCTTGCTCTATCTAATAGAACCGTAATAAGTGTTGGCTTCACCATTCTCAGATCTGGCTGTGGCTTTTAAGTTTTAATTTCTCTTAAAAATTAATTTTCAGTCACCTGTGTGTTTTGGACGTAATCCTGCAGGCATGTCTGAGTAACGCCGGGCATGTAGGGTTGTATTTGTGGAGCGGTGACGTTATTTTATAATGCCCCCGGGGGAGGAAACTCCGCTGGGCTGTGCTTTGCAGCACCTTCTGCAGTCGGACCTGGCCCTGTCTGACACTCCCGTGCCAGGTTCTGGTTTGGTAGCTCTGACAGGGCCAAATAGCCCTTAGGCGATGGTGTTGCCGAAAGTTGGGTTAAGTAAACCCATCCTGCTGAACAGTAAACCACGCTTCTTGAACAACAGATGTATTGAAATGTCTTGTTTACTGTGTCTTGTCCTCTTGATCTGTGTTTGCAAAGCAGAGTCATAGTTCATAATTGCGGCTCTTAGGGTTATGCAATTAACGACATACTTAAGATAGCAGTAGTATAGTCTTTTGATCTGGAAGGAAAATAAACCATTCAAGTATGTCTGGGTTTTCAAACTGGCAGGGTATTTCCTCTTCCACTGTCTCCTTACCACGAACCATTTGCCCATATAGCATGCCTGCTAGCTGAAAATAAGACTTCTTCCAAGTCTGTATTAGATATATTTTAGTGAAATAAATTTTCTATCTGGTGATGCTCCAAAGTGTAATCTGTCATGAATGGATATGAATTCAAGCATGTTTTTATTTTAAAGAGAATTTGTTATGTCAGTTTAAAACATTTGCAACAATTTTAAGGAAGTAGGGGGAAATTTTTCTGGTTTCTCTCTCCCTGCTCCCCCTTCTTTTTTATTAATTAGACTGTTTAGTCTTGAGAATTCAGAAAGTTCCTTTCTTTTTATCTTTTCCAGATGGGGGTAGTTGAAACATATCTAGGTATTTCATCTGTCTACAAACCTTGCCATGGTTATTACACCTTTATTACTACACTGGACTTCCATAGGGCAGCAGTCACTCAGTGGTGTTATAATTAACATTACCATTTGCAATCTTTTTAAAAATGCAGTCATTATTTATGAGGTCCTGATAGACAGAACTCCACTAGCAATATTTTACATATCTGCAAATCACAACACATTTTAAAAAATGTCATGTAATAATGTAAATGCAGAGAAGTGGAATTTATTGAAAGTATGCCATTTAAAAACAGCCCCATACTCCCAACCTGACAGAGCGTAAAGGGATTATCCAGACTTGACTCATCTGTGTAGATTGTGCATTTCAATCTGACTGCTGAGTTGAGCAACGCTCCTCTGGAGTGATTTCACTGCCTGCTTCTCTGGGTTGTATGAACTTTTAAAAGCATTATTGGTGTTCCAGAGCTGTTCATATTTTTGAAGAAAACTAGTCTTGCAGTCAGTAAGACTTGGAAAGATTGGAGATTCAGTTTGATATTTGATGAAACCTCTTTACTGTTCAATTTTACATAGGTAAATTGAAAACCTTATGAGGTTTTATTTTGTGAGATCTTATACATCCGACATGCAGTTGAAAATACTCTTTAAAAAAGCTGGAAAAAATGCAATTCAGTGTGAAGTGAAATGAGGAACTTGTTTGGCTCAGGTCAGTTTTTTTTGTACTCAGAAATGGCTAAGGCTAAGCATCTCCATTCAGTAGAAAGGAGATTTGTGACTTAGTTCGACTTCTTGCATTACAGAAGTCATGAAATCTTGTTTGGTATTTTCTGCATCAGATCCACAACTTCTATTTAGAACCAATAATCAAAAAAAAAAAAAAAGTCTGCCTTAAAAACTTTCTGTCTGCATAGTTTTTTCCTTGGTTGCACTTTATTTTTTAATTAAAACAGATCATAATCTGGATTTTCTAGCCTTAGCTTGCAATCATCAATCTCTTCATAGTCTGTATTTTAAATAATTCTTAAAAAGTGAAGTGCTTCATAGAGAGTAACAGTAGTAAGAAAGTGGGAGCGAGGGTTATAGTAACTAAGAGGAAGGATAGAAAATGTGTGATGTAGAACTTCTCCTTTTCCTCTTCTGTAAATATTATTCTGCTGCTTTTGCTGTTCTATGAAGCAGCGTCCCACATATGGGTAGGTAGTCATGGATAAGAGTTTTTTTAATTTATTTGAGAGATATTTCATCGTTCACTCATTTCCATAGTGTTTGTTGCTATGGCATCTAGATGGCGGCCTTATTAGTGATCAAGGTGATTACACTCTGTTTTTTTGACTTGTGGTACTGAAAACTGTATCTGAGGTACTGTGAGAAACAGATGTTGTACCGAGACTGCAGTGAGTTGTTTCTTTGAAGAGACTGAAATGTTTCTGTCCTCAGACTGAAGTTGTTGTGTAGTGGTTCTTTATATCTTATTATATATAGTTATGTTTAAAATGCCTCATGTCTCCAAGCTTGCTAAATATTTACAATAAATATACTACTTCTGCCATATGTTTGAAGCAAGAAACCCTTTAATTGTACAAGCCCATATTTTTATGCTTGAAAGAATTGACACTTCATCTTAATTACTAAATTATATGTTAAATGTAGAATATAATAAGAACAGAGGTGAGATGGTGTAACAAGCAGCAGTCATTATTTTTACCTCATGGTCTCAAACTACAGTTATTTCAGTTAGCAAATAGATAGAAAATCAATTGTAATCTGCTCATAATTGCCTTCCTGGTAGAGTTATGAGGCATTTCACCTGCTCTTATCTCTTCTCCATGCCCTCCCTGTCTCCCTTTTTTCTTCTTTTTTAATTCATTATTTTTTTCTCACTATCTGTATTTTTTCCTCTATATGCCTTGTAGAATAGGCAGATCTCCAGAGTTAGAGGAGATTTTTCACTGTAAAGCATCTTTAAATGTTTTTGTGTAACAGCTTGAGGCTCTGTCAAAAGGCATGTCCATTACCAAGTTGTTTAGTGATGAGCAGAAAGTGACGGAGGATTTCGTAACCTTGGGGCTTTCTGCTTAGATGAACTAAGCATTTCTCTTTTACCTATCAGGACTGATTACTTCAGGTTAGATCACATTTCTTGTGTAAAAGGCTGAGCTTGTGCTACCAAAAATCCAAATTGTGTTTTGCTTAGCACAAAGTGCTGGGGTTGACATTTGACACTGACTTTTGCATTCTGCAAGGATATATTACCCAGTTAAGGAATTATTTTAGCTTTTTGGTAAACTCAAGCTCTGTTCATTCTTGAGTCATAGCTGCAGAGTGAGAGTGTTTTGAAAGCGTACCTTAATTTTAAGACTTGTACTTCAGTTGTCCTGACTGGAGAGGTCCAGACAAGGCGTTTTCAAAGTTTGCCCTGGGGAGTAACGAAGCTCATCCTCTGCAACTGTGAGATTCATCATTCTTCCAGGCTTACCTCACAGCATGTGCCAGACTACCTCTTCTGTCGGCTTGGCCATTTTAAGGTTGTATTTGCTTGATTTATGATACCAGTGTAACACTTTAAAATTGGACATACATCATCCTCCTCCCTGGGAGGGTAGATGTCTGTTTATATATTTATATGTTTGTGTGTGAATGGGTAGATAAATAAAAAATAGAATGCTAGACCATCCCAGGATCTGCTGTCCTTTGAATGTAGCAACTTCGTATGTGCTAACAAATGTAGTTCCCAATATTTCTGTTTTAGACCAAAATGATTTGGTTCTAAATTCTTTCAGGATAAAGATGTCCTTTGCATAAAATTTCTGCAGGATTATACAGACTATTTAAAATGTATTCCATCTTAAAATTATAGGTTTTTTGTGGGTGGATAGTGAAGAAACGTAAGCTTTATTCAGGAGGGAGGATTTTGCTTTATAGGAAACTGATATTTTGAGAAAAGAGTGGGGAGAGAGGAGGGAGAGGCAAAGCAAGACGTTCAGTGGTTTGGAGTGCAGGAACGTTTAATGGACGTTATTAATCCTCCCAGTGAAAGAAATACAGTAATTTCTTTTGGTATGAAAGGAATGTCTTGGGAGGTGGTTGAAAGTTGCAGAGGAGTGCCAGGGACTGGAGAATCAGTGAAGCTGGAGTTGTTCAGTAAATGTGACATAGGTTATTGCAAATACCTGAAAAGCACTCTGCTTGCTACAGGTAAGTAAAGCTCAGAGGCTGGGAAGCATCTTAAAGAGTAAAATCCTTGAGCCTTTTGCTAATAGGTAAAAACTCACAGGATAATTCCTAAATGACTGTTTGTGTGAGCCATACTCCCTTATGAGCTGTAAAAACTAATGTGTTAAGTTGTGAAATCAATGAATCAGTCCCATCAAACTTTGAAGTTTTGTGATGAGCTGAAAATTTCTCTTTTGCTATGACTTAGACCTTTCATTTTAGGATTAATGAAATTTGGTGGTTTGGCAGAGATTGCCTGGAAAAGGGACAGATTGCATTTCCTTAAGCAGAAGCTACTTTCCTTTAACAGAAGCTACTTCCCTTGTCTCCTTTTGTTCTTTAAACTGTTAACGTAAGTAGGTGGTATGTAATTCCTCATCTCTGTGCTTTACCAGTTGCCATTATAGTTGGTGCCCTGACTCTGAACAGGCCTCTTCAATCCTTTGTCATCTGTATAGCTAATCTTTGAGTCGCTGATTTATCTAATCTTTCTAGATTCAATGCATGGCCTCATTCTTGATGAGAAACGGTTCTCTTATAAAAAGTACCATAAACACTTTCATGGAGATATGCACTTTATCTTAGTGGAGAGTCCTGGAGCATCATAGTTTGCAGCAACATCCCCTGAGGCCTCTCCACCTTAAAACTTTCAACTAATTTGAAAACCTCAGATGATTTTTCTTCAGCAGTAATTCCAATACAAGCTATTTGTAAT